AAATATGGGAAAGACTTCACTAAGACTCTGATTGCTATGCCATCTATCAACTCAAAACTGAATCCTTCTACCATTTCCCACCACTGTTTTGATATTGTTGAAAAAGAATGCATTGAAAGCAGGATTAGATAGATTCAGTGATAAGACATCCTGCCACAGAATCGACATCATGCCTAAAACCACAGGTAACGGACTCCATCTACTGCCAAACCCACCATACTTGCTGCATAACACCCTTTTCCACAAAGCATTCTCCTCCCTACCATACCTCTACCACCATTTTAGAAGTAGGCAATCATTGACCTCCCTCAAATTTCTGACCCCTAAACCTCCCTGTAACTTACTCAAGCATACCTCCTTCCAACTAACTTGATGCACTTTTCTCCTTAATTCAGATCCTTCCTAGAGGAAATTAGACTAAATTTTTTCAAGTGATTTTACAATACCCACTGGCATTTTAAATAGAGATAAAAAATAGACTGGAAAACTAGACAGCACTGATCTTATCAAGGTTACTCTACCTGCAAAAGACAAGCACCTTCTCTTCCATAGAGCTAGCTTCTTCTTAAAATTATCCACCACTGGCTGCCAGGTGCTTTTTCTCCTTGGATTTGCTCCTAAAGGCAGACCTAGATACTTCAGAGGCAGCTTTTGGCTATGGCAATGGAGCCTGTTTGCAAATTTTTTCACTAGATCATCATGTACACCTATTCCACAAACCTGACTTTTGTGGAAATTAATTTTAAGTCCAGACAATATCTCAAAACATCTAAGAATTAGCTTAATAGCAATAATTTCCCCCAATCTGCTTCACAAAATATGATGGTATCATCTGCAAACTGAAGGTGCGATAATCTCAGATCATTTGGACCAATTGAAGCTTTTTTTTTTATCAAACCCACTTCTTTAGCTCTTGACATCAATAAGTTAAGGCCCTCTGCAACAATGTTAAAAAGGAAGGGTGAAAGTGGGTCACCTTGCCTGAGGCCTTTCATTGGGGAGAATTCTGTTGTGGGTGAGCCATTAACTAGCAATGAGACTCTAGCTGTAGAGATACATGTTTTCATCCACCTTACCCATTTTTCTCCAAAACCAAAGTTGGTCAACATTGAATACAAGAACTCCCAGTTTACTAAATCACATGCCTTTTCAAAATCCAGTTTAAGGATGATGCCTTGTTTCTTTGATCTCTTCCACCAATCTACCACTTCATTGTCAATTAGCACCCCATCCAGGATATACCTTCCACTCAAAAAGGCCGATTGCATTTCACTAATAATCTTTGGAAGTACCTTTCTCAATCTTCTAGATAAGACCTTGGCAACAATTTTGTATACTAAACTTACCGAACTAATAGGTCTATAATCACTCAGACCCAAGGAATTATCTTTTTTAGGAATTAGAGTAATAAATGAACTATTCACACCTCGAGCCAACTTACCATTAGAATGGAAATCAGACATAAGTTGCACTACCTCCCTTTTCATTATATTCCAACATTTTTGGATACCGGATAAATTGAACCCATCAGGCCCCGGGGCTTTGTTACCATCATAATCATTGACTGCTTCCCAAATTTTCTCCTCTGAAAACTCTGCCTCTAATAACTCTGAGTCTTCAAGACCAATTGAAACAAATGCTCCTGACAGTTTCAGCCTAATCTTCCAATCCTCAGAAAACAATTAGCTAAAATTTCTAACCACTGCTTGTTTCATAACATCTGGCTGATCATAGATGACACCATTCTCTTTGACAGAATCTAGCAAATTTTTCCTCTGCCTGCTACTAACCAAGATATGAAAAAATCTTGTATTTTTGTCCCCATTGGCTAACCATGACAGTCTAGATTTTTGATGCCATAACCACTCATTCTTTTTGTTCAGTTCCCAGCCTAGCTTTCTAACCTCCCTTATCCTTTTGACCTCATGTTCCAGCAAGTTCCTACCTTCAGCCTTAATATCCCAGTCATGGTGTTCAGCCTCAGCTTGTTTCAATTGCTCATCAATGTTTCCAAACACTTCACAATTCCACATTTTGAGATGTGCTCTGAGATTCCCCAGCTTTTTCATTAACCTATAACTAGCACAACCACTAATCTGATTATTATCCCAAGATTTCCTCACTTTAGATTTAAAATTAGGATGTAAGCCCCAAGCATTTATGAATATAAATGGCCTTGGACCCCAATCCCTCTCATCTTCCATTAACAATATAGGGCAGTGGTCAGAGATACTTCTAGGTAGTGGTCAGAGATACTTCTAGGTAGCCCCCACTGCTTAAATAAGAACTTTTCCAACCACTTATGGTCAATTAGGAATCTATCAATCCTACTCCACCTATCCACATCCAAAGCATTGCACCATGTAAAGATCTATCATTGGGATATCAATCAGCTCCAAATTATCAATCAAATCATTGAAATCCTTCATTCATCTATCCCTTCTCAAACACCCTTTCATTTCACTCATAACTCTAACTTCATTGAAATCACCTCCTACACACCAAGGCCTTACAAAAGTATATTTAAGTTTCACTAGAGATTCCCATAGTTGCCTTCTTTTCAGTATTTCATTTGGAGCATAAAAGTTTACTATAACACAATCAAAAGAGTGGTTTAAAGTACCTAACAACAGAACAAAATTTCTATTACTGCAATACTCCTGTAGTACAAAGATATCTAGATTCCACAAGCATAGCATACCTCCAGCACTACCCTCTACACCAGCCTCATAAAGTCCATCTCCTCCCAAGGCCATAACGACTTAACAAAATTTGCATCAATACTACACCTCTTTGTTCTTGTAACAATCGGACATCAATCTTTCTATCCCTAACCAAATTCTTTATTTGCCTTCTCTTTTCAGGCCTTCTTAGCCCTTTAACATTCCAAGGTAATATCTTCATAAGGAAACTACTAACATACACCAAACCTCCTAGTATCAACCAATTGGCTTAGGAGGCTGCACCTATGCCTTTCATTATTTCAAGATCCTTTTCTTCTAGCTCAACTATTTTGTTTACCACCTCCTCCTCTTTGCCTTCACAACTCAGCCCTAAAATTTTCCCAACTTGAACTGTGGCTTGTGCTTCAGTCAACATCTTCCTCATTCTCCTTGTATCTGAACTCTGGGAGACTGATAATGAGATTGTAGCAGCTGCTACCCGGAATATAGCTCCCTTTTGCAGACCATTGTTGAACAACACACCCTTGTTCTTCAATTTCTTTGGGTTTGTCTTTTCCCTATTGTTAATATCAACACCTTTTCTCATACTACGATTGATGGCTTTTTCACTGGTCTTCCCCCTTATTGTTGTAAAGCCCCGATTGTTCACACCCTACTGGGCTGATGTAATAACCAGTGGACTTAACTGAATGTGTTCTACACAATCACTAAGGTTAGAAGCCTCTATGATGGGCCCATTTCCCAAGTCCCCAAGCTGTGCCTCATTTAAAACAACCTCTAAATTGATATTGGGCCTTAAATTTTCTGGCCTACTAAAACTGCTAATGAATCCAGTGGAACATATCTGACTTGTAACTTTTTGAATTTCATTTGCCACCTCTTTTCTTGAGCTACCTACCTGTTGCAGACCTACCTCCATATAGTCACGTCCATCACTTGGATTTTCCACATCACACCCAGTCTCTTTTACGGCTGATACAGACTCCCATTTATTGCTTCTTCCATTTTCCTCTACATCTGTGTCTACCATGCCCTGTTCTGTGCTTAAAACATCATCCTTCCTTGACATTTCCTTTTTCCCTGAATTTGCATTTGCATTGTCATTATCCTCATCTCCATTATATGTTTTGACATTTGATCAACCTGTTCCTGAGAGTTGGAAGCAACCTCCTCACTCCCTCTGGCTTTGTTGTTGACAAACACTGATAAATCTTCACACACACGAACTGGGAAAAACTCACCATTGCATTCAACCTTGATCACTGTGTTTATGAACTCAAATCTATTCATAATAATTCTTACCTTACCATACTGGAAGGAGTTGTGATTAAGAATATTGTCATCCAACTGAAAAACTTCCCCCCATAGTTTACCAATATCTGTGAAAGTATGGACACTCCACAAGTTAACTGGAACACCCATACAAGTAATCCACACACACCTTTCATGAGCAATAACTCTAGCAATGTCGCGAGATGATCATTATCCAGGAATGAAATTTATATGTGTTTATGTAACTACGTGCTTATATGGAGTGAATTATATGTTGTCCATCGTATTAGGACACGAGTGAGTTAGCTTCAGCACATTGTGAATGTGCTAATCTCTTTTGTTACTTTCAATAGGATGTCAGGACGTGGACGTCGTGGTGGTAGGCATGGCAGGCCTGGATGACAAGAAATGCCATTACCGGATGAAATTCTGAGGTAGGAAGAAGGGATTGGTTAGGCCAATGTGGTCGAACTAGTAGATCGTTAGGCCATGGGCGCTTTGGCCCGTGAAATGGCCGGAGCCTTGATGGAATCCATGGACATTCTCAGAGCTGAGAATCAAGTCTAGGCCCATGTTGCTGAGATAGGGCCATCATTTTTGAAGAGGGAGTTCTTCGGGTCTAATCCGGATGAGTTTTTGGGAGATCCTAAAGAGCCTCTGAAAGTGGAAGAATGGCTCAAGCAGATAGTGAAGACATTTGAGATACTTGGCATCGTGAACAACGGTTTGAGAGTGACCTTTGCATCCTTCCAGTTGAAGGGAGATGCGGGTCAATGGTAGAAGTATGCGCATGGGCATATTGGAATGACTTGGGAAGCCTTTGTCAACGCCTTCCAGGATAAGTTTTTTCCTTCTACTGCTAGGGAGAAGTTGAGGGATCAGTTTCTGAAGCTCAACTAGTTGAGCACACCTGTAGCCAAGCTTGAGGTAGCTTTTACTAGCCTCTCTAGATTTGCACCGGAGTTGGTGGTGACGAAGGAACGCCGTTGTGTGCAGTTTAAGAAGAGATTAAGGATCGGGCTTCTTTTCAAAGTGGTCAGGTCAATGATTAGGGACTACGAAAGCCTTGTGGAGGCGGCGGCTCATCTTGAGACCATGGTTCAGATGGAGAAAGAGCGGATGAGGGGCTTAAGGAGGAGTCAGGAAGCTCAGAGTGAGACTCGAGGCAGTAAGAGGTAAAGTGGTTGTACTCCATAGCAGTCTCAAGCAGCACAATCTAGATCCACCTTTCCTATATCAAGTTCAGGCTCAAGAAGAGGTAATCAGGGAGGTTTCACTTGTTTTAAGTGTGGCCAGTTGGGTCACAAATCTCCAGCTTGCTCGCAGAGAAGAGGAGGGCAACAATCAGCACTGTCTTCGGCTTGTTCTCAGAGTCAAGGAAGAGGGAAACCGCCTCATTGTTATCAGTATGGGTAGTCAGGGCATATAAAGAGGTTTTGCCCTCAGTTGGGTGGCACACTTATTACGTCTAGTTTGAGACAGACACAGAGCCATCAACTTATCCAGTCAGTACATGCCTTGAGGGCCAATCATAGGACCTCTTTGACCTAATCCGTGCATCAGATTTGTACTCCGAGGGGTGAGCAGGTAAAGCAGAGACCTATAGGGCGTGTGTATGCTATTACCATGCAAGACTTAGTGCCAGCACCTTCGGTAGTGCGGGGTAACTTCTTGTTGTGTAATTCTATTACCAATGTGTTAATTAATACGGGTGCATCCCATTCATTCATCTCGTCTGCATTTGCATCGGCATTGGGATTAGAAGTGCCTCGGTTAGTATCTCTACTAAGTATAGAGTCACCTGTTGGTGGTGAGATTGTATTGGAACAGGGGTGTCGAGGTTGTGAGACAGAGGTTGCCGATCGCTGACTTCCTTTTACATTTGTGTTGATTAAGATGTCGAGTTTTGAAGTTATATTGGGTATGGACTGGTTGTCATCGTATCTGGCTATCATAGATTGTTACTGTCAGAGGATTACTGTATATACCTCGAGTGGTGATTGTTTTTATTTCATAGGGTACAGAGTTGATAGAGCTTTATTGCCTATGTGTGATCAGTGTGGTCGGGTGAGCTTAGTCTCCTTCTTGCTACATTCTTGGGTATTGAGAGTGATGTGGTCCGAGTTGAGTTACTGAGGGTAGTTTGTGAATACCCAGATGTCTTTCCCGAAGATCTCACTAGTTTACCACCTCACCATGAGATTGAGTTCTCTATTGATTTAGTGCCTGGAACGACACCAATTTCAATGGCACCATATAGATTTGCATCCACCGAAATGAGTGAGTTAAATATTTAACTCCAGAAATTGTTAACTAAGGGTTTTATCTGCCCTAGTACTTCACCTTGGGGAGCACCAACTCTTTTCACTAAAAAGAAAGATGGCGGGTTATGACTTTATATTGATTACCGGAAGTTGAACAGGGTAACCGTTAAGAACAAGTATCCATTACCTCGTATAGATAATTTGTTTGACTAGTTAAAGGGGTCTTGTTGTTTTTCCAAGATAGATTTGAGATCGGGTTATCACCAGTTGAGAGTAAGGGAGGAGGATATCCAAAAAAATGGCATTTTGTACACAGTATGGCCATTATGAGTTCCTAGTGATGCCTTTTGGGTTAACCAATGCACCTGCCTGGTTCATGGACTTGATGAACCGAATCTTCCGTGAGTTCTTAGACCATTTTGTGGTTGTCTTTGTTGATGATATCTTGATTTACTCACCCTCTAATGAGGAGCACGAGAAACATTTTCGAGTTGTACTTGAGTTGCTTAGGGCCCACAAACTGTATGCTAAGTTCGGGAAGTGTGAATTCTGATTGAAAGAAGTTAAGTTCCTAGGACATGTGATAACGCAACCCATAATATGCTTAATTATGTATGTGATTACGTGTTTGATATGAATTTGCAAGTTTAATTACATGAATTATGTTAATTTGGAATAATATCTATTGAACGTAGGAAAATCTATTGCAATTACAACTTTGAACTGAAATTGAAAGCCTTAAAGGCGCGATAAGCCAAAACTGACTTTATATTTGTGTTTAGCATGATTTTTAGAGTCTACGGTGAAATTTTGAAAAATTACGATTCATAATGATTAAATTAAGATTTATGAGCCGAAGTCTTATATGTGTATCTAGCTCTTGAGTTCTTCATTTCTTGTTGAGAGCTTTGAGTGAGTTAGAGAAAGAGGAAGAAGAGAAGCTAGGATTTTGTAAGGGATTCAAGGAGTAAATCCTAAATTTGAACTAAGGTATGTTAATCTACTTGAAATCTTTGTGTATATCTCATCTTTTGCTTGAAATCAAGAGGAAATTGGGAATTTTGAGTTAGGGTTTTGAGTTGTGTAAATGTTTGACATAAAATCAAGAAATCCCTTCATTTTTGCTTGATTTGAGTTAATTCATGTGATTACTCCATGAAATAAATTCTAGATGGTTCATACAACCAAGATTTGTTGGAAGATTCACCATGTTGTATGTATATTGAGCTTGTATAGGTAATTTATGAATATATGAAATAGTTGAGACGATGAATCTAATGGTGACGCAAGATTGAAATGTGTAATGTAGAATTATACCTAAATCGTGCCAGTATATCATATTTTTGAGTGAGTTTCGCTTTGATTTGAACGTGGAAATGAGTTTGGGAAGTTTGCATCTTTGAACCATTTTCGGACTATCTGACTTTCCCCAGACTGCACGAGTGGCAACGGGCTCCGCACGAACGGAACATGAAGAAAAGCAGAGGTTTTCATTTTGCTCTTTGGGTGCTTGAGCGGCTAGTGTTTCCACTCAAACGGATTTGGGACGCACGCTAGGTAAAGACTTCTGCACGTGCGAAACTCTTGTTTCAGCGCAACTTCAAAAAGGCATATCTCCTTCATCCAGACTCTGTTTTAAGCGATTACTAAGCCTAAATTCAATCCCTCTCGGTCTAGTTTCTAATGATGGTGGTCGCATATCCAAATTCTAAGTACACAAATAGATATGCTCAAATTAGCGAAGGCTGTTTATTTTCTTTTAACTGTTTCATGCCATTTCCTACCCTAACTTAGTTTTCTTTCGCTTCTTGCTATTTCCTTAAACCTTAAATATGTAAACATGATATTTTCAATGATAAACATATGACATTGTTGTAGGAAACATTAATTTAAGTCATGAACATTTAGGGTCGTTTAAAGTACATCTTTCACACATACTTTTTACGTGATTCACATGTAGAGAAGTATAGCATTAAACACTTGACAGGAATTAAAGAATGGGGAACAATGGAATGGTTATGTAACAAATAAATCAATTGAGTGAATTGAAGACAATGTGTTTTGAAATGTTAGGCTTGGTTATGTTTCTGCAGGTTGAGTCATTAAGGTGTATCATCCGACCAAGCACTATGAGTAATTTCTTTGTAACGGTATTTTCATATGAAATACTTTGAAATTATGAAACTTATGCTTTGTATAAATTATGCTCCTTGATGAGTGTTTTCGTAATGATAAAATATGTTTGAAATCTTCGGAGCAATTATGCTATGGCAAGTTTCTAAAAGAATGTTTTAATAAGAATGAATGAGTTTCCTTTTGAGCAATGATTATGATAAATTGGAAAAATGTACTTTGACCCTCAGTAAGTGCTATTCGTTTACGATCCGTCTTAGACCATTTGTATAAGCTCATGATTTGCTATAAACGTTCTGTATGATGTTAGTCTTTGACGATTGTCCTGTATGGTAATTCAGCTAGATAATTAAGGCCTTCTGGTACTCCGCTACGACTTGGAGTTATGAAAGGTTTGATAAGCAATATTTGATACTGTGTGATTTGAAACAAGCTTTTAATATGATTTGGAATCAGACTTAAATGTATCATTTGATCAAAATGAACGAACTTCATTAATATTATATGACACATGCAATGTGGGCCCGAGGTCGCTTGTTATATGATTAGGCCCGATCTCACTTGTTATATGATTGGGGCCAAGGCCATTTGAATAATGATTGAGCCTGAGGCCGCTTGTTGTATGGTTGGTCCCGAGGCCACTTGTTATATGATTGGGCCTGAGGCCGTTTGGATATATGATTGGGGTCGAGTCCGCTTGTTATATGATTGGGCCCGAGGCCGTTTGAATATATGATTGGACCCGAGGCTGCTTGTTATATAATTGGGCTCGAGGCCACTTGGATACATGATTTGGCCCCAGGCCGTTTGTTATATGATTGGGCCTATGGCCGTTTTGAATATATGATTATGGATATTGTGAGAATCTTATGATCATCTATTTACACTGCTTTACTGTATTACTACTCATTGAGCTTAGCTCACCTAATATTATGTATGCACTTGTAGGTGATCCGCAGCATGAAGCACACCCCTAGAGTCAGCTTCAGGAGCTTTTTTTGTGACCTAATCGAGTCATGCCTCCGAGATGGTATTTTGTCTTTGACTCACACCATACCGTGACCTTATTTTGTTTTTTCTATTATGGTCTTGGGTTTGTAAACAATATGTACAAATTTCCTATGGTACTTATATTTTACTTGGACATGTAAATGTTTGAATGTGTTATGAGGTTAACTTTATAATTTTGCCCATGATTGGCACAGCTTAATGGACTTCTCATTATTATATGCTTCCGTTTATAGCCCCATTAGCATAAATATTTTGTATGATCGTTTAAGGCCTTCGGTAATCTACAGATTATTGGCCAGTTATGACCCAAACTTTTTGGGGTGGGTTCGGGTCATCACAGAGTGGCATCAGAGCACGAGTTATATTTCATACACGTGTTCATTTGAGCAATAAGAGTTATAGAACAGAACTGAGGGTTGCATTTATCTGTCGAATGTCCATTTATCTGATAAGTATTCAATGTGCAATATGTAACAAGTATGTAATCATCTATTATGTATTCATTTATTTGGTACACGTTCTGTATGTTACCATCTATCAAGTATATGATCAATTGTGCACCCAAGATAGGTGAAATTTTAATATGAGAGTATGTGTTATGTGTAAATATGCCTATGTATATGTGTAACTTTTTGTAATTGTTAGAAAATAATGAGAACAAGAAGGGATGAACTAAAGGACTCAACATCCTCAAGACTAGACATAATACAAAGAATGATACATGAGATGGCGGAAAGTTTAGGATGACAACAACAATGGCAACAACC